AGAGTCCGCGTCTGTGTTTGAGAGTCCGCGTCTGTGTTTGAGAGTCCGCGTCTGTGTTTGAAAGACTCTGACAGTCTGTATGTGAGGGTTCGAGTTTGAAAGACTTTGCCTGAGGGTGTGTGTTTGTGTTTGAAATGCTCTGTATGAGGGCCTGTATTTGAGGGTCTGCGTTTGTGTTTGATAGACTCTGTCCAAGGGTCTGTGCTTATGATTAAAAGACTCTGTCTGAGGACCTATGGCGGAGGGTCTATGAGGTGTGTTTGAGGAGCTGGATGAGGCAGTACTCAGCGGGTGAAAAGCCTTGGGAATTGTGAGCAACTCCTTCCAGCTACGATCCTCTGCACGAACCAGTGTTTCTGATGTCCCAGCCTGTGCTGGATTACACAAACTTTACTGTAGCTGATCTCAAATCAGTGGTTTCATGAAGTGATTAGAAGCTACTGACAGTTTCTATGCCTTGTTTAATAGCGGTGTGTATAAATATACAAAAGATTTGACTGAAATTCAATTGTTTTTTTTAAAACGTTTTTTTTTCCTGAAATACTGTGACATCTTGATTGTAATTTCTTTTATATATAAAAGGTTCCACTTTGCTAATGGTACTGTCATTCTTTTTGGTTAGGGTCACAGAGCGGATTAAAGATGTTTTAAAGATCATTTTTAATCAGATCTGTTTGGACATGTGACAACAAACCTCTCTGCAAGGGATGGGTGTTGAACCGAGGTTGGCTAGCTCAGAGTTAGGGACAATACCACTACACCACAAGAGGTTCCCTCTTCCTTACTGGGAGTCAGATTTTATTGGGGGAGATTGCAGTCTCCAAGGCAATGGCCTCAGCCAATCAAAATCAACTCGCCAATTCTTTTCACATTGTGATTGTTTGAAATTTGGCATTCTTGCAAAATGTGTCCTGATGAGTTTGAGGTGAAAAGTTTCTCTCTCTTCAGCAGTTCTGTAAAAATTAATAACTGAACACAATTCGGAAACATGGGCGGTAATGTCAAATGATTTATTATCTTGCCTTGATGGATTGTGAACACATTGTGCGGTGATGATGATGATGATAAAGATGAACATGAACCCAAAGCTGTGCCAGTAACTGCAAGACAGATTCGCCTCAGGCATCTTTGGCCATACAACTTACGATCATCATGAGGAGACAAATATACTCCTGTAAGTATTCAAAGGAACAAAAAGGAATGGCTTAATAATTAACAGGACAGGTTGAGTTCATTGGGAAAGGAGAATATAACAGTCGGAATGGCAATGTCACTCACACAAGGGAATCTGGGTGCTTTGGACATCCAAGATCTCATTTCTGGCCTCCCCTCAGCCCCTGACCCAGTAGAGGATCCGTCACTGTGCGCTGTTGCCCTACGACTAACTGGATCAATCCATGGTGAAGCCTGCAGTTCCAGGCCTCTGTTGGGTTTCCATAGCAACATGCGCAAACTGGGTCAATCGGATGGATGGTGGTCCATTTTTGGGCCAGTTACTGATCTTGTTTCCATTTTAGTCCTTTCAAAGTCTAGGATGACTTCCCTACCCCTCTCCAAATCTGTTGCCGTGTTTGGCATTTTTGTTTTTAAATTCGCCTGTTTGTGTCGCTGTCTAGGCCAGAATTTTATCACCTAGAAGGCCTTTTTTAATTGCTGCAGTTCTTGGGGAGATTAAGCTGCTATTGCTGCGTTTTGGGAGAAAAATCTAGAACAGGTGAACCCTCCCTACGCCACCCGGTCTTCAGTCCTGCTTTTATGTAGAGGTTGGTAACATTGAAACCTTAAAGGCCTAGCCCTCACTTTCAAATGGCAAGCAACGGAAAGCAGGTTTTTACCTTGAAGCCCCAGCTCTGCAGACATGATGTTAATGAGAGCTCACTGAAAACACCAGAGAGCTGGAAATTGTCTGATCCCCATCGATAGGGTCAAACACAGCTCCTGCCTGGAGTAGAAGTCAACTTTTCTATTCAAAGAGGGCACAGGGTGATTGAGGTGGGTATACCGTATGGTAAAGCAGGGACTAACAGACTGGCATTCATTCTCAAAATTAATAGTGGGGACAAAAGAAATCATTTGTACCTGCCCAATAGGAGGGCATAGGAAATAGAACCAGGAGGAGGCCATTCAGCCCAGCACCCTCAAACCTGGTCTGCTATCCAACATGAGCTAATACCCTCTAGTTTTCCTGTAGAAACGTAAAGTAGGAGAAGAAGTGGACCATTCGGCCCATTGACCCTGCAAGATACGTACCCACACCCCTCAATATCCAGCCATTGAGGTTTGTCTCTTGAACCTGCTCAATGACTGTGCTCTCTATAATTCCAAAGATCCACCACCCTCTGAGGGAAGAAATTCCTCCTCCTGTGAATCCAAAATGGCCGACCCCCTTATCCCAGCTGTATCCCTGTTTGTTCTAGACACCTCCTCCTTCCCAACCAAGGAAACATCCCACCTACACCCACTCCATAAAAGTACGGGTTAGGGGAAAGTGGTCAATAATCCAGTTTCCTGGCAATAAGGGTTTGTAATTTATATTCTACTCATTACAGACAGCATACCAGCTGGTTGTTCCAAACATAACGTTTCCAAATTCGTCTTTCAATCTGCCTCTTCAGAACGAGCAAGCGGTTTTTGAGATTTTCTCTGTAATCATGCCTACCTCGGGATAGCTTGAGCTGTTTTGACCCCCTTCCCAACCCCATCTTGCCTTGACATCCTTTTCCTGGGCAAGAGCCCAAATTCCTCCCAGACTGAAAGGTCAAAGTTCTGCCCGCGAGGGCTTCCTGTCTTCCTCACTTTCCCACGGCCCTTCACCCTTCAGCTTCAACAGTGTCTCTGACCTCTCCTAGAATCACCCATCAATCCCTACTCACATCAGATGATAGATATTTTTATGCTTGTATCAATTCGTGGTCTTTCTTATTTAGAAGGCTTGTCATTCTGTTGTCAAGGCAACATCTTTCATGAGATCAAGACTGATGAGGCCACACTGCAACAGAATGAATTGTACAATCCACCCCATTGTCCCTTAACGTTATGATTGAGGGGGTATCTGGCTACATCTTCCTCTAATTTAAATATAATCATCTCGGTAGGTGGAAGACCAAATGGTTCCAATGTTAAGACAGTGGGTCAGCAAGGAATATGATTTAAAGGCGATTGTCAGCAGGATCAGATAAGAGAAAAGCCAAACTCATTTAATGATGCCCTCAGTTGTACAACAGAAGGAGAGGGAACAGACCATTTGCCCCCCCCATACTATCCCTCCATCCAACAAGATTATGGCCAATGTTGGCACACTTCACTGCCTTGATGTCCAAGAATCAAAGTCAGCCTCCAAACCTCCTCGATGACTGTTCAGAGAATTCCAAAGATTCCCTTGCAGTCCAGGTGAAGAGGTTTCTCCTCATCTCAGTCCGAAATGCTCCCCACTCCAGCTCTAGACCCTACAATCAGGGCAAATTCTCTGTCGGAAGACTGCGCCCTCTCAGAATCACAGCATTTTTATGGCGCAGAAAGAGGCCATTCAGCCCATCGTGCGCACCATCAGATAGCGCCAATCGCCCGCCTGTTACCAGTATCCCACCCATTCCAAAGCAATTGCCTCTCATTCCTCTCAACCCCAGCGATGACAGGCAGGTTTACTCCATCTCTCCTCCCAGGACAATTCTCCATTTGCTGTGGGCTTGTGCCATATTCCCCTCTAGGGCAGAGCATCTGTAAATCTGCATTATCACTAGACTATTAATCTAGAGACCCCTGTAATGTTTTTGGGGACCTGGGTTTGAACCCTACCACGGCAGATGGTGGAATTTGAATTCAAGTAAAAACAAAAATCTGGACTACAGATGACCGATCTGGGTCACTAATGTCCTTTAGAGAAGGAAATCTGGAGTCCTTACCTGGTGACTCTAGGAGTGGCTTTTAAATTTAATTTCTCCCTCTTCCAAATCCAACCCCTTTCATGAGTGGGTGACATTGCCAATGTAAACAAGTAACAAAGGCTGTTTCACTGCACCATGAACCACTGCAACCCACCATGCAGCTTCAAGCCTTGAGATGATAACAGTACATTGCCGCTGAGATACAGGAAGAGAACGTTGACCAATGAAACACATGACTGAGAAGGAGAGGAAGCTCAAGTCTCGCAGAAGCACCTTAACCTTTCCGGATATCCCTCAGCTTCTCGGCAATGCTCTTCAGCTCCTTCTCGATCGCTATGAGGTTCCTTAGCCTGTGCTGTTGGAGGGAGGGCTGAAAGAAAAGAGGAGTTACCGTGGCAAACCCAAAGCAAACAGAAAGCCCTGCATTGCTATAGCGCCCCTCGCCCAATCTCAGCGATTTGCAGCCACCAGTGTAGTCCAGGAGCCACTGCTCTAACAGGGCAGGCGATGGGGGTGGGGAGGTGGTGCTGGGGTTGGGGGGGGGGGGGGGGGGGGTGGGGGGTGGGGGGGTGGGTGGGAATGCAGCAGTCAATTTGTGCACAGCATGATCCCACAAACAGGAGTGTGACCACAATGTTGATATTGATGCAGGGACAACAATTAGCCTCAAGACCTGGAGGAGAACTGTCTTTTGCTCATTTTTGAAATCTTAAAGTTGAGTGTTTCCTCTTGATTACAACGGAGAATACATTTCAAAAGGTATTTTACTGCCTGGGAAGCATAGAGGCGTACAGCTCGGAAACAGACCCTTCAGTCCAACTTGTTCATGCCGACCAGATATCCTAAATTAGTCTAGTCCCATTTGCCAGCATTTGGCCCATATCCCTCTAAACCCTTCCTATTCATATACCCATCCAGATGCCTTTTAAACATTGTAATTGTACCAGCCTCCACCACTTCCTCTGGCAGCTCATTCCACACACACACCACCTTCCACAGTCAGCATCTATTCCAGATTTTTATTGAATTCAAATTTCACCATTGGTCATACAGTGATAAAGCATGTAAACAGACCCTTCGGTTCATCCAGTTATCGCTGAACATAAACCCAAACTAAAGTCCCACCTGCCCGTTCCTGGCCCATATCCAAATGTCTTTTAAACATTGTAACTGTACCCACATCCACCACTTCCTCAGGTAGTTCATTCCACATGTGAACCATCCTCTATGTTAAAAAATTGCCCCTCATGTTTGTTTTAAATCTCTCTCCTCTCACCTTAAAAATGTGTCTTGAAATCCTCCATCCTAGGGAAAAGGCAACTGCCATTAACTCTATCTATACCCCTCATGATTTTATTAACTTCTATAAGATCACCTCTCAACCTCCCACACTCCAGTGAAAAGGTCCCAGCCTATCCAGCCTTTCTTTATAACTCAAATCTTCTATACCCGGCAACGTCCTGGTAAATCTCTTCTGAGCCCTCTCTAGCTTAATAATGGTGACATTTGGATTACTCCTCTAGTGACATTATCACTATACCATCCACTCACGTCAATACTGCACTGTGTTGATGATCAGCTGTTTCTCAATGTTAAATGACATTTCTCTTAATTTAGGCCAGAAACTGATCTGGACCCAGCCTGTGGCTACAAGGGCAGGTCAGAGACTTGGAATCCTGCAGCGAGTAACTCACCCCCCTGACTCCCCAAAGCCTGGAGTCAGGAGTGTGATGGAATGCTCCCCACTTGCCCTGGATGAGTGCAGCCCCAACAACACTCAAGAAGCTCGACACCATCCAGGAAAATGTAGCCCTGATTGATTGACACCCACTTTCAACACCTACTCCCTCCAGCACCTACGCACATAGTCGCAGCAGCGTGTACAATCTACAGGACGCACTGCAGTAACTGACCAAGGCTCCACTGACAGCATCTTCCAAACCCATGACCATCTGGATGGACAAGGGGCAGCAGATACATTAGAACACCACCCCCTTGCAAATTCCCCTCCGAGCCCCTCACTGTCCTGACTTGGAATTGCCGTTCCTTCACTCTCGCTGGGTCAAAATCCTGGAATTCCCTCCCTCAGGACATTGTGGGTCAACCCACAGCACATGGACTGCAGCGGTTCAAGAAGGCAGCTCACCCCCACCTTCGAGGGGCAATTAGGAATGGGCAGTAAATGTTAAACTAGCTGGTGCCACATAAAGTTACCAGTTGTTGGCTTCCTTGGTTTGATTATTTTTAACATGCCCTCCTCTACCAGGACGTTGAGTGATATTAACCACTCATCTTCCATTCCCAGGGGGTGTAATTAACTAGCATCTGGCCCGTCTTCTCTGAAACCTACAAGGAGCTGCTGTGCATCTGCCGCACTTTTATCATTCATTTGCACTTAATCCAAAACCTCACTCAGCCAGGACACATCAAACACTTCCCTCCGGCAAACACGCATCTTGCCAGAGAGTGGATAAGAAAGATGTGAATGGTGATGGATTCACTGTAAGCTCAAAGCGTCCACAATGCTGAGAAGCTCACTTCTTCAAGCATAATGACAGTTATGCAAAAAGTTGCTCGATAGATTTGGAAGGACGAGAGCCAGGGATCGTGATGCAATTGGATTTAACGTAGTTCCTTGGCCATAAGCCACACTCCTTCAATTAGTTTCTCATCAAAAGTTCACAGGAGTAACAAACTTCCCAGGATCATAAAACTCTTGCTGGTGACTCAAGTGGTTATGGGTTCAAGTCCCACTCAGAGACCACAGCTTAAAAATATTCAGGACTGATAGTCAGAGGGAATGTTGCCTTTTGGTACGGTGGCTCAGTGATCAGCACTGGGGATTGAGGTTCGATTCCAGCCTCGGGTGACTGTGTGGGGAGTTTGTATGTTCTGCCTGAAATTGCTCTTGGTGTTCAGGGATGTGAATGTTAAGTAGATTAGCCAGTGGGGTTAGGGTAGGGAGCTGGGTTTGGGTGGGATGCTCTTCGGAGGGTTAGTGCAGACTCAATGGGCCAAATGGCCTCTTTCTGCAATGTAAGGATTTTATGTGGGCGCCAATATCGATGTTGCTGACATTTGTTACACATCCCCAATTGCCCCTTGAATTGACTGTTGCATTCAGTTATTTGGGGTGGGGGGGAGCCCAGCCCTGTCTGAAGGCACATGTAGACTCAGATGGGGGTAGATATGTCAGATTTCCCTGCCCTAAAGGGCACATCAAATGGGTTTGGATGACAACTGGCGATGGTTTTGATGACCAAGACTAGCTCCTAATTCCGGATTTACGGATGGAGTTTAAGATTCCATCAGCTGCTGTGGTTGGATTCGAACCCATCGACCCAGAGGCATCAACCTGGGTCTCTAGTCCAGTGACATCACCATTTTCCCCCCTTCAAAAGGGATGTCAAACTGAGGATTGTCTGTACTCTCAGGGAAAAGTGAGTGAACCTACTATTTTAATGAAGAGCGGGGTAAACATACCTGACCCAACATTTACTGCTCACTCACATCTTTGGGTCACTACCCCACAGCTATTCATGGGGGGCTTGCTATGTGTAGATTGACAGCTGCCACCTTGCAACAGTGACTCACTTTGTTGGCTGCGAGAGCACTTTGGGAGGATGTGAAGGATGATATGTAAAGGCAGAATCTTTCTGAACGGTGCCACTTTATACCTCAGGAATGCCCCTCATTCGCAGCAATGTTGCTGATTCTGCTATGGCACTGGTTTGAAGTGCATGTAGAGGGTCAGATGCCGATTGGGATGGTCTCAGAGAGTAACTTCGCTCAATTGGTGGGAGAAAGGGAGGGGGCAATTGGGAACCTGTTTCAACATTTCAGAAGATGGAAATGTAGACCTGTACGTGGAACTCACTACCAAAGGGAGTGGGCAGGGTGAACAGCGTTGATGCATTCAAGGGGAAACTAGATAATACACATGACAGGAGAATGAGAGGTGACCTTAATGAAACGTGCAAGATTCTGAAGGGATTTGACAGGCTGGGTGTGGAGAGTTTGTTTCCCCTTGTGGGATAGTGTGGGACCAGAGGGTAAAGAGTTGTAACTTTAAGAAAAGGATGAGGGTGAAATTCCTTAATGCAGAGGGCATTTGAGGCTGGTCATTAAGTATATTCTAAGCTACGATAGATTTTTAATCAGTAAAGGAATCAAGAGTTATGGGAAAAGGCAGGAAAGGCACTGAAAATTAACAGATCAGCCAAGGTCACACTGAATGGCAGAGCGGATTCAATGGGCTGAATGGCTCGTAGATCTTATGGAGAGAACAAAATATGCTGATAGCGTGAGATAGTATGATAGGAGGAAGTTTATGACCCGAATGGCATGTTATGATTTGTTAGCATGGTACATGCTCTTGTGTTGCTGTTGTTTCCTGTTTGGCCTGTGGCCCAGACACTGATCCTTGTGGAAACTCACTAGTCGCAGCCTGCGAATATTGAAAGAGTCACTCATTTATCTCTTTATCCAGTCTGTTTGCCAATCTTTAACCCATCCCCTGAATAAAACCTTGGGTAAATTTTGCTTTTTTTTTGGGTGGCACGGTGGCTCAGCGGTTAGCGCTGCTGCCTCATGGCGCCAGGGACCCGAGTTTGATCCCACCCTCGGGCGTCTGTCTGTGTGGAGTTTGCACATTCTCCCCGTGTCTGCGTGGGTTTCCTCCGGGTGCTCCGGTTTCCTCCCACAGTCCAAAGATGCACAGGTTAGGGTGGATTTGCCATGGGAAATTACCCCCATAGTGTCTGGGGATGTTTGGGTTAGATGGGTTAGACATGGGAAATGCAGGGGTAGGGGAATTGGTCTGGGTGGGACGCTCTTCAGAGGGGAGGTATGGACTTGTTGGGCCGAATGGCCTGTTTCCACACTGTAGGAATTCTATGATAATGCAATATGGGGACTGAAAGATTTACCTGATAGGGTTGGATTGAACAGACACAGCTTCCAATTCCTTGAATGAGGTTTAAGGAGGGATACAATGAAAGAGTTGAAGAACACTGACGAGTTGATACTCTATAGCGAGAGAGGGATGGACTGTGCAAGGCATTGGTGAGGCCTCTTCTGGAGTACTGTGTACAGTTCTTGTCACCCTGCTATAGGAAGGATATTATTAAATTGGAGAGAGTGCAGAAAAAATTTACTAGGATTGGTGGGTTCAAGTTATGAGAAGAGGTTGGATAGGCTGGGACCTTTTTTCCCTGGAAGATGGGAGGTTGAAGGGTGACCTTACAGAGGTTGATAAAATCACCAGGGGCATAGATAGGGTGAATAGCCAAGGTCTTTTCCCTGGGGTGGAGGACTTCAAAACTAGAGGGTGTAGGTTTAAGGTGAGAAGGGGAAAGATTTAAAAAGGGACCTGAAGGGGCAACTTTTTCACACAGAGGGTTGTTGGTATGTGGAACTGAATTGCCAGAGGAAGTGGTAGATACAGGTACAGTTACAACATTTAAAAGGCATGAATAGGAAAGGTTTAGAGGGGTATGGGCCAAACACAGGTAAATGGGACTAATTTAGTTTGGGAAACCTGGTCGGCATGGAAGAGTTGGACTGAAGGGTCTGTTTCCATGCTCTATGACTCTATGACTCTAGACAGTGCCTCCTGTGGCTGGAGGAGAGAAGAACAAAGAGAGGTCTCACCTTTAAATTTGAGCCAGAATCTTTGGGCACTGATGTAAGGAATCACTGCATCATACAAAGGGGCAGGGAGTGGTAGAGAATCTGGAGACTTGGAGGTAAATTGAAAATTTTTTTTTAAAAACTGGGATTGATAGGTTTTTCATGGTCAAAAGTATTAAGCATTAACGAATTGGGGTGGGTGGCTGGTGTTGGGATACAGATCAGCCATGATTTAACTGAATATTAGAGGGGCTGAATGGCCTCCTCTTGTTCCATTGATTTTCACTGCAATGCAGGCCTAGCGTAACATGGATTGTCAGTGACAGCGTGGGCATTAACCAACAATGTTACAGAGTCAGAGACAACAAGGTGCAGAGCTGGATGAACACAGCAGGCCAAGCAGCATCGTAGGAGCAGAAAGGCTGACGTTTCGGGCCTAGACCCTTCTATGATGCTGCTTGGCCTGCTGTGTTCATCCAGCCCTGCACCTTGTTGTCTCAGATTCTCCAGCATCTGCAGTTCCTACTATCTCTAATGTTACAGAGTCACTTTGAATTGCAAGGACCTATTTAGCCCGTGAGAAATGAAAAGTAACATTGAAAAAGACAGTAACTTTCTCACTCACCTTGATATTCAGGAGAAAGGAACAAAATTCGATACTAACCTCATAGTGTAGTTGCCTCCTCTCCTCTTTCTCCTCCTCCTCCTCATCCTCCTCCTCTTCTTTGTTGTTTTCAATATCATGACGCCTCTCCTCCAGGTACTCAAGCTCATCATCTTGTCTTTTCAAACCCACACCTTCTTCCTGAAGGTGGTGTCTCTTTTTATCCTGCGATTTCTTCTCAAGGGAACGCTTGTCATCAGACTCGTGCATATGGCTCTTGGAATCGAAGACCTTGACTCCCTTTTCCTCAGTTTCAAACTGATCAGTTTCTTCATCGCTGGCATTCTCTTCAACTCGCTTTTTAACATGGCCTGGAGCTTCCTTGCTTCTTTTCTTGGAGCCATACTCTTTGGTGTGATGCTTCTGCTCTTCGGCTTGCTCGTCATCTTCATCTTCCAGTTCCTCCCTGGCAATCTTCTCGATCAGTTCATCTATCTTGAGGACATTGTGGTCCTCCTGCTCATCTTCTCTGGATAGCGAATCCTCTTCCTCGGAGGACACTCGGTGTCTCCTATCGGGACTCCTCTTATCGTCATCAGTCAGTTCTTCCTCGCTTTCGTGGAGGACTAGTTTGGTGTCATCTTCGCCATTCATCACTTTATAATCATGCTGCTCCCTCAGTTCTTCTTCACTTCCTTCATATTTCCCCAGGTCTTCCTCTCTTTTTAAAGGGACATCCTTCTTAGAATTGGCTCTTCCTCGGTGACTGATATCATCTCTGATCTCAGCCCTTGATGTCTTCTTATCCAACATGTATTGCTTCTTCATGTCTTCCCGTTCTTTCGATTCAACACTTTCTTCCTCCAGGTAGTTCCATTTTTTATCGTTTCTCTCAGTTGAGCCTTCTCTGATCTCCCCTGTGGATGGAGGGAATTAAGAGTTGAAAAACATTCGATATGGCAGATTTTTATTAGAGTTGTTAATGGGTAGAATTAAAGATTCAAGGGTCCCATGTTTCAAAGAACTGATACAGGTTTATTGGTCTAGTAGATATGGTTTGAAATTAGCAACACAGAGTTCAGTTCCCCTCAAGGGGAGTTGTGAAATTAAATTCAACAAATCTGATCATTTGCTCATTGGACTGTCCACCTCAAGGTCAGTTAGAGAGCATTTGTCATTGCTGAGTCATGTTCAGACTGTTAATCGATTGGGACCAGGATCATGTTTTATGGTGTAACTGAAGCCTCAAATGTAAGACTTTTGAAAAGATTGACAGCACCGGACAGAGAGAGAAACAAGAGGAGAAACAGAGAGGGGGAGAGGAAGACAGATTGACAAAGATGCAGACACAGGGAAAGAAATAAAGAGTTAGAGAGGCAGACAGGAGACATACAGAATATAAAAAAAAAGACACAGAGCCATGGAGAGAGACAGTAATTGGTGGAGACACAGAGACAGAAAAATAGAGTCAAACAAAGAGTGGCAGACTAACCGAGGAGAAGAGGAAAACAGACAAAGGAACAGAGACTGACAAGAGACAAGAAAGACCCAGAGGCTGACAGAGAGATAGTGAGGCAGATAAACAGACAGAGACAGAAAGAGAGAGAGAGAGAGAGGCAGAAACAGACCAATAGAAAGATAGTGAGAGAGAGAGAGAGAAACCGAAAGAACTGCAGATGCTGTAAATCAGAAACAAAAATAGAAATTGCTGGAAAAGCTCAGCAGGTCTGGCAGCATCTGTGAAGAGAAATCAGAGTTAACGTTTCAGGCCAAGTGACCCTTCCTCATAACCTTATCAGGACCTGAAACGTTAACTCCGATTTCTCTCCACAGATACTGCCAGACCTGCTGAGCTTTTCCAGCAATTTCTATTTTAGTTTGAGAGATGAGAGAGAAACAGGCAGAAAGAGACATAGGGACAGTGAGAGCCTGAAGCAGAGAGAGAGAGACAGAAAGATAGACTGATCGAGAGAAACTGACAAATAAGGATAGAGAGACATGACAGAGAGAGACTGACAGTGAGAGATAAAGTCAGGCAGAAAGACACAGAGAGAGAGTTTTTCCTCTTGCACTCATCAGGACAGATGCAAGAACACTAAAGCAGTACTCATCAGCCTCTTCTCATGCAGTGTCAACAGATGTTCTTTTTGAGATTTGATATGCTTGGAATTCGATTCAACGGTGCAAGATCTGTAACTGATGATTGAATACTTGCTTTTAGTTAATGACTTGCAAATTAAATTGTCAGGCCAAAAACATTATTCCAATCCACCCTGTAATCTTTATCCTAAACAGTGAACAGTCATTAAAGTCACCGTACCGAAATGTGTCAGTTCTTCCAACTCTTTCAGAAGGTTTTGATGACGCACCATGGCCAGAATCCTTTCATCTACCAGAGAACATTAAAGGTCAGAGCTACTCAGAACAAGTTCATATCCAAAGGACACATGGAAACAAACAGAACTGACAAGTGTTCAGGTAAATCATAAAAATATAGTCAAATATTAAACGAGAATGCAGTGAAAATAGTGCAGAGGCAGATAGAAAGAATCAGAGAGAGAGAGATAGAATACTGAAAGGAAGACAGAATATAGAGAGATTCAGAGAGAGATAGACAGGCAAGGAAAGAAACGGACACAATTAAAGAGAGAGACCAAAAGAAAGAGAGTTGGAAAGAGTCAGAGAGAATGTGAGATGGAGGAAGGGAGAATACAGAGGGTCACAGAGAGACAGAGGGAGATGGAAAGGAATTTGGAGAGACTCTGAGAAAGAGAGAGAGAAATGGAGAAAAAGGGTCAGACAAAAGAAAAATCAGAGACAAAAAGAGGGTGATAAAGACAGTTGGCAAGTCAGGGAGAGAAATGGGGAATAAGAAGACAGAAGATTACTGATGGAGACAGTGGGAGAGAAAGAGAGTCAGAAAATGAAAGCTAGATAGACACAGAGAAACAAGGAGAGAGGAGAGAAACAGATGGAAACAGGGAATAAAATTGTAAGAGAGAGGGAGAGCTGTAAACAGCGAGATTCAGAGAGATAAGACACAAAGCAAAAGAATCAGAAAGCTACAGAAACAGTACACAAGGCAAGAGACAGATATAGGATACCATCAGAGAGAAGGAATTTTGGTATCTTAGAAGAAACAAGTCATCATATTCAGTAAAGAAAAAAATTGGGGAGAGAAAAGTAAAGGCAAAGAAACAGGAAGAATGTATCGGTGGCAGTTCAACCTTCTTTGAGGATCTTTTTGCATTTGCTGCTGACTGGCAAGGGGTCAGGTTTGGAAAGTGTATCCGAAATCGCTTCAGCAATACACTTGGTCACCTGCAGAGGGAGACAAAGATACACAGAGCCATTTAAATCACATCAACCAGGAAGTGCAGGAGGCCATTCAGCCCCTCAAAGCTGGTCTGCAACTCAATTTGTTCACGGCAGTGCTTACGGTCAATTTACCCACCTTCGCTTCATAACTTGTTTTGCAAACATCTATCAATTCAGGTTTAGAAGGTTAATTGAGGTAACATCCACTGATTTTGCTTTTGGAGAGTGTGACATCTTCTGGTTAGTTGGAAATAACTTTTTTTAGGCTTAAAATGTTGTACCTTAATGGAGTGTGTTTCTTGCTGTACTCGACATGGCTGGTAGACTGATACACTGCTACTGTCACACAGGCTAGTTACAGGAAGGATATTATTAAGCTGGAGAGGGTTCAGAAAAGATTTACCAGGATGTTGCTGCAAAAAGAAGGTTTGAGTTATGAAGAAAGGCTGGATAGGCTGGGACTTTTTCTTCACTGAAGTGTAGGAGTTGAGAGGAGACCTTATAGAAGTTTATAAAATCATGAGGGGTATAGATAGAGTTAATGGTAGGTGTCTTTTCCCGAGGATGGGGGATTTCAAGACTAGGGGACACATTTTTAAGGTGAGAGGAGAGAGATTTAAAGACGATATGAGGGGCAATGTTTTCTTTAACATTAGAGAGTGGTTCATGTGTGGAATGAACTCCCTGAAGAAGTGATGGATGCGAGTTCAGTTACAATGTTTGAAAGACATTTGGAGTGGCGGAGTGGCTCACTGGTGAGCACTGCTGCCTCACGGCACCAGGCACCCTGGTTCAATCCCACCCTCGGGCAACTGTCTGTGTGGAGTTTGCACATTCTCCCCGTGTCTGCGTGGGTTTCTTCTGGGTGCTCTGGTTTCCTCCCACAGTCCAAAAGATATACAGGTTAGGGTGGATTTGCCATTCTAAATTGCCCCACAGTGTGCAAGTTAGGGTGGATTGGCCATGCTAAATTGCCCATAGTGTTCAGGGATGCCTAGATTAGGGGTGTTGTAGGGGGATGGGTCTGGGTGGGATGCTCTGAGGGTTGGTGTGGACTTGCTGGGCCGAAGGGCCTGTTTCCACACTGTAGGGGTTCTATGATACATTTGGATAAGTACGTGGATTGGAAAGGTTTGGAGGGATATGGGCCAGGAGCAGGCAGGTGGGACTAGTTTAGTTTGGGATTATGGTCAGCATGGCCTAGTTGGACTGAAGAGTCTGTTTCTGTGCTCTATGACTCTATGACTGCAGTGTGATAGTGAAACATGGTCCCCCAGAAAACATCTTCACAAGCACTTAGTTCCTAGTACTTTACAAATAATATGCCAATATAAATGAGAGATTCCCACTCTATTGCTGAAGAAATGTTTTCTTAATTTCTCTCCTGAATGATCTTGCTGTGATGTTTGGGCTGTGATGCCTTTGTCCTGGACTCTGTCACCAGCAAATCCCTCAAACAATATCTCACCAACTTCTCCCAAAATCCTAAATAAACCCTAATCCAGTGCTACCCTTTCCCAGAGCTTTGGGGAGACTGGAACAGTGTGCAAAGTTTTGGTCTCTGTTTTGAGGGAAGGATTTACTTGTGTTGGAGGGAGTACGGCAAAGGTTCATTAGATTGGTGTTTGGGATGACAGGGTTGGCCTGTGATGAGCTGTTGAGGAAATTGAGTCCAGATCTTCTGTGGTTTAAAGAATGAAAGGAGATCTCATTCTACCATAAAAAGATTCTGAATGCGCTTGACCACGTGAATACTGAAAGGATAGATAGATTCTTGAATGGGGAATCAAGAGTTAAGGGGACAGGGCGGAAAAGTGGACGTGAGGAATGTTGGAGCAGCCATGATCCTATTGAATGACAGAGCAGGCTTGAGGGGCCGAATGGCCTACTCCTGTTCCTATTTATTATGGTTTTATAGGACACAACACCCCAGGAATCTAGAACAAGGGGACATAGGATTAGGGGCTGATCATTTAGAACTCATGGGCACTACAAGGGCTCAGTGGTTAGCACTGCTGCCTCAGGGCGCCAGGGACCCGGGTTTGATCCCACCCTCAGGCAACTGTGTGGAGTTTGCACATTCTCCTCGTGTCTGTGTTGGTTTCCTCCACGTGCTCCGGTTTCCTCCCACAGTCCAAAGATGTGCAGGTTAGACAGATTGACTGTGCTAAATTTCCCGGTAGCATCCAGGGATGTGCAGGCTAGGTGGGTTAGCCATGGGAAATGTAGAGTCGGGGGTGGGTCTGGGTGGGATGCTCTTCAGAGGGTCGGTGTGGACACAATGGGGTGCATGGCCTGCTTCCACACAGTAGGGGTTATATGAGCTGAGACAAGGAAAAGGGGGAGGCAATGGCCTAATGGTATTATTGCTGGACTGTTAATCCAGGGACTCAGATAATGTTCTGGGGACCCAGATTCGAATCCTGCCATGACAGATGGTGGAATTTGAATTCAATAAGATATCTGGAATCAAGAATCTAATGATGACCATGAATCCATTGTTGATTGTCAGAAAAATCCATCTGGTTCACTAATGTCCTTTAGGGAAGGAAACTGCCATCCTTACCTGGTCTGGCCTACATGTTATTCCAGGCCCACAGCAATGTGGTTGACTCTTAACTGCCCTCTGGGCAATTAGGGATGGGCAATAAATGCTGCCTAGCCAGTGATGCCCTTGTCCCATAAATGAATGTAAAAAAAAAAATTCAGAGGACTGTGAATTGTCAGAGAACTGTGAATACACCACCATTGAATATATCTGAGACCAAGACCAGAAATTGAGCAATTATGGGGAATGGAAGGAGATGGGGAGTTGGAACACACAAATCAGCCATGACCCTACGAAGTACTGTTACAGGCCATATTTCTCCACCCTTCCTATTCATGTACCCATCCAGATGCCTTTTAAATGTTGTAATTGTACCAGCCTCCACCACTTCCTCTGGCAGCTCATTCCACTCACACACCACCCTCTGCATGAAAAAGTTGCCACTTAGGACCCTTTTAAATCTTCTCCCTCTCACCTTAAACTATACCCCTCTAGTTTTGGACTTCCCCACCCCAGGGAAAAGACCTTGGCTATTCACTGTATCCATACCCCTCATGGTTTTATAAACTTTTAGCAGGTCACCCCTCAGCCTCCGATGCTCCAGGGAATATAGTCCCAGGCTATTTGGCCTTTCCCTATAGCTCAAACCCTCAGGAAGCTTCTTGGGAGAAACAGTTAACAGTACAGGTCAGTTCAATGACTTCTTATCAAATGAAGAGTCTCTGAACTGAAACATTAACTGGGTTACTCTCTCCACAGATGCTGGATCTGCCACGTTTTTGAAGAGCTTCCTTTCTGTATCTCACAGGGATAGTGCTAGGTTTGAGGAGAGCTTTAGATATGACAAGGTCAGTGGTGAATTAGCCACCTCCATTTGTTCTCTGTCAGTCATATCTCAATTTTAAAACCTCTTCCACGTTTTAAAAAAAATCATTCAGCCTCTCCTTGTAGCTCAAACCCTGAGGAATGGGTGGAAGGAGAGGGGATTATTCCCCTCACTCTGAAATAGGGGGAGCTGTTACCCTCCCTCGCTGAGGAATTGTTTGATAACCACTCCTGAGAAGCACTTTAGGATGCTGTACTACATTTAGGCCCTACATAAAAGCAGCTTGCTTCTGTTATTGTAGAGTTTGGATCTGAAATCTGCATTTTAGTAAGGTGTTTCTTAGGAGCGTTTACCAAACAGCAACTGACCAACAGCCATATGAGAAGATATTGGGACAAGCGAAGCTGATTTTAAAAACCGAAAGAACTGCGGACGCTGCGAATCGGAAACAGAAACTGAAATCGCTGGAAAAGCTCAGCAGGTCTGGCAGCATCTGTGAAGAGAAATCAGAGTTAATGTTTCGGGTCCAGTTCTGAGGAAGGGTCACTGCATCCAAACTCTGATTTCCCTCCACAGATGCTGCCAGATCTGCTGAGCTTTTCCAGCGATTTCTGTTTTTGTTTGAAGTTGATTTCAAAATCCTCCTTAAAACAGGAGAGGGAAAGGGTTAGGGCGGGAATTTCAGAGTCTGAGGTCCAAACAGCTGAAGGCTCAGCCAGCAATGGTTAGAAATCAGGGGATGCTTAAAAGTACAGGCTGGGAGGGGAGACAGTCTGAATATCAAGATTTACAACCAAGGCAAGAGAAATCCCACAGTTACCGTCTGATCTTCCCTCGGCAGCTCAGATATTGGAGGTCGGGAGGTCACTGTAAATAAATAAGAAAGCACTTAAGTAAATGGACATTGCAATTACAGAATTCCGGATTAAAATCAAAAGCAGAAAGATCAATGATGGTAGGAGCTACAGTCTCTAATCTTCCCACTCATCCTCCTCCCAACCTGGACCTCTGATAGTTTCAGCAGTGGCTGGAGCGGCTAACCTCTTGAGTTTAGCAAGTTGTGAGTTCAAGACCCCATACATAGACTGAAGCATCTCATCTGTGTTGACGCTCCCAGTGCCATGCTGAGGGGGTGCTCACGACCTATAGAGCGGACAGGGAGAAATTGCGAAAGGGATTGAGAATGAGGATGGGGGGTCACGGGCTTAGAGTAATCAACAAAAGAAGCAAAGGCAAGATGAGGAAAAGAAACATTTTTCACACCGGGAGAGGCTGGGAAACGAAATGCAGATTCAATTGAGGCGCTCGAAAATGTTCTCTGAAAACGAACACGTGCAGGGTACAGGGAGAATGGAAGTAAATTGGTTGCTTATTTGGTGAACCGATGCAGATACAATGGGCCGAATGGTCTCCTGTGCTGTAACAATTCCGTAATTAAGCATCAGATATTCATTTCCACCTCCGCAACACTGTCTGAGTCTATCCCTGTCTCAGCTTATTGCCTGCTGAAACCCTCATTTGTTTCTTTATAACCTCTAGACTATCCCAGCACATTCCTGGCCAGCCTCCCATGTTGTACCTTCTAGAAAAGTGACCCTAACCTATATGCTGCCCATGTTGCAATTTGAACCAAGTCCTGTTGAACATCACCTTGTCCATCACCCCCAATGACTTTTGAAAGGGGTCAATTAAGGTCAACAAGAAGGGGGACATAATTTTAGAGCGACAGGCAGAAGGTTTAGAGAATTTGAGGGAAAATGTTTTTCACCCAGAGCACAATGGGAGTCTGGAATGCTCTACCTGGGAGGATAGTTGAAGCAGTAAAACTCACAACCTTAAAAAAATACTTGGATGAGCACTTGAAATGTCATAACATTGAAGGCTATTAGCCAAGTGTGGGAAAGTGGGACTTGTGTTGGTAGTAGCATATTCTTGGCAGTACAAACTTGATGGGCTGAAGGGCCTCCTGCTGTACTTTAAGATTATTTCAGAATTTTAAACTCAAGGCATATCTCAAGCAAACAAGAACAGGAATTGCTGGAGAAACTCAGCAGGTCTGGCAGCATCTATGGAGAGAGAAACAGAGTTAATGTTCTGAGTCCAGTCACTAGCGTTCTGAAAAAGGCTTTCTCCGCCAATTTCTATTCTTGTTCATTTCAGATCACCAGCATCCACTATACTTGATTTAGTTTTAAAGTTTTGAGTCCTTTTTTAAAATTTTTCACCTCCGCTTCCTATCTCTGTTATCTCCTCTGGCCTCACAACCCTCCAAAATATCTATGCTCCTCCAATTGAACCCCTTCCCTGACCTCTCTGCTTTTCTCTCTCCCTCACCCCCTCTCTCTCTCTCTTTCCTCCTTAAAACTGACCTCTTTGCTTTTATTAACCAATCCCTAATATCTCCTTGTGAGTGCCAATGTCAGATTTTGTTTCACAACTCTCCTGTGAAGTGCCTTGGGGGCTTTTTAACTATGTAAAAGGTGCTACGCAAACCAGCTTATTGTGACGATACTATGGTTCTTAAGAGGTGTATTTTGTCCTGGTTTTTTTGTTTAATGAAGAAGGGTTGCGTCAGAGGTGCCAATCAATCTACCCAGAGCCACTGAAGTAAACAGTTTGAGAGGCCTTGGGGGATTTTAAAAAAAGAGTCAGGGCAATAGAAGGAGCTCGAATGAATGTGGTCAAACTCCCACAGAATCATGATTTTTAGTTTTTGTTTTTCAGTAGCAGTTATAGAGTCATAGAGATGTACAGCATGGAAACAGACCCTTCAATCCAACTCGTCCATGCCGACCAGATATCTGGCATGGTGGCTCGGTGGTTAGCACTGCTGCCTCACAGTGCCAGGGACCTGGGTTTGATTCCACCCTCAGGCAACTGTCTGTGTGGAGTTTGCACGTTCTCCTTGTGTCTGTGCGGGTTTCCTCCGGGTGCTCCAGTTTCCTCCCACAGTCCAAAGATGTGCAGATTAGGGTGGATTGGTCATGCTAAATTGCTTGTAGTGTTCAGGGATGTGTAGATTATGTGAGTTATGTAGGATGGGTCTGGGTGGGATGCTCTGAGTGTTGGTGTGGACTTGTTGGGCCGAAGGGACTGTTTCCAAACTGTAGGGATTCTATGATTCTAAATTAATCTAGTCTCATTTGGTCCATATCCCTCTAAAACCTTTCTATTCATATACCCATTCAGTTGCTGGGGCTCTTGAAGGTGCAGTACATCTCCCTCTGCTACTTTCTCTCTTAGAGTTTTCGCTTGATGTTTTTCCTCCTGGACTGGAGACATACCTGTGAGACAATCTGTTTTACTGAATTCGCCTTTGCCAAGGGTGTGTTTATGGGATGTTACTGTATTGGAACAGCTACTGTTTAGTAGTTAAATAATCTGTTATTCTGTTAAGTTTGCCATTAGAGTTTAGTTATTCCTATTCCTTCTTTCTTTTGTTGTATTTTCAGTCTAGTGCATAAAATGTGTTTTGCTTCAAATCTGGTGGTTTGACCAATCAAATACAATGCCTGGCACTTGACTTTGAATGTTAGGGTCTAGGCTATCTTCTCAATATATTTTGAGGGGGTTTGGTCTGTCCATATCATTATGTATGACTAAACAGCACCTCTCATTCAAAATGCTACCCTCACTGGTTCCTGCTCCATGTGGGGTGCCATCTTTAACATCTCCACTTTCAGAGAGCAAAACAAACCTCAACAAGTCAACTTTGCTTCTGGAGAGACTCTCCCAACTCCATGGATCTCACTCAGACTTGCTTTGAGTTACTAAAGGTACATTTGCTGCTGCATTCTGCGCAGACGGATCATTAGTTGTGTTACAGATACAGGGGGTTTTAGGGCACATGTGTCAATATCAGGACATCTGCAGTTTCACTGACGCACATCAGCTAGTTCAGATTCAGTCTAACCTAAAGTAGATGTAGAAATGGTTTTTAACCATCGTCTCACACACACCAGATGGTCAGTCAGTATAAGCGGGGAAGAAAACAAATAATTTGCAATGGAAATGAGGTGGGTGTTTGAACTCTTAAATAACATCATCTTTCAGTGAATTACTTTCTCAGCCATCACCCAGCGATTGTAGAGTTAACACTTTGTACCTTTCTGGTGTATTATGCTTTTTAATTTTCTCTCTAACTGCCTGAGAGAAAGAGAAGGAAAGGAACTGTACACAAATAAAGATAGACAGAGATGGAGGAGGGGTGGTAGGCAACAACAGGACAGAGATTAAGAGGAAAATATAGACAGATAGAAAGGTACGGAGACTTAGAGAGGAGACCGGGGATATAGAAGGAAAAATAGACAGAAAAATACATTAGAACAAAGAGAAATGGAGGCAGTCAGAGGCAGGGAATGGGGAAGTAAGAGCAAGCTGATGGAGAGAAAGACAGATGGATGACGAGAGAAGGGAGGGGGAGAAATAAGGGAGGAAGAGAGATGGGGGAGGGAGATGGGGAGGAAGAGGAAAGGGAGCAGGAGAGAGAAAAACTGAAAGAAAGTGAGGGACAGAGAGGCAAAAAGGGAGGAAGTTAAATAATGGGAAGAAGAATGAGGGACAGAGAAAGAGAGAGAAAGAGACAGACAGAGAGAGATAAACAGAGGGAGACAAAGAGAGTGGCAGGGACAAAAAGAAAGACGGAGAGGAACGAGTCACAGTCAGAGAGACAGAAAAAAAGACAGGGAGACACAGAGATAGAGAGACAGAGAATACAGACAGACAAAAACAGTGACACGGAGGAGAAAGAGAGAGAGACAGAGATGGAGAGAGAGACAGACACAGACAGGCAGACAAAGAGAGAGACAGATAGAGACAACACAAATAGAAAGAGAATCAGAGACAGAGAGAGGGGCAGAGAGAGAGTGGTGGAGAGAGAAAAAGAGAGGGAGAAGGCAAATGGAGGGAGAGATTTGTCAGCGAGAGCCATGACACCCGCTTGTCGCTGTCCAGGGTACTGAAAGCGACCTCCGCTCTTCCTCTGCCTCTGGATGCCGGGGGATTTAGAAAGTGGGTCGAGCGATTCCACAGAAACTGCTTGCATTTCCTGCCGGCTAGAAATGAGCCGGCCGAGCACACGGCCCTGAAAATCTAAACATTAAACAACACGCTCACAGAATCACAGCAACCGTTCGCTTTGGACAAGTCCAGTTAACTATTTCAACATTTGAGAACACTGAAAAACATCCAAACTACGAATTTCGTTTTCACAATAAACTTACCCTGGGAACAGAACAGAATCCAGGCCAAAAAAACGTTGCAAATCATCTTGAACTGAGGTGTTAATGGAGTTTGCATTTGAAGGAGTAATAGTCTTTTTTTTAGAGGGTAAGAGGGGGCTGGGTTGGTATTGACTTGGTGTCAGGGGCAGTTTGCAAAAAAATAAAATAAACTGGAAGATTCACGGGAGAATTTGGAATGATTTTTGAGCAGGTAAATGGAAGGGATGCGGGGAATGATGATACCTTCGTCCTCTCCTTGTGTGATGAAGATGTGAAGGCGCCTGAGATCTTACAGCGATTTATTTAAAATATCCAGACCAGAGGAAGTGATGTCAATCTAACTGCAGGAGCTCATTATGCAAATCTTTAAAGGGATTTTCAGTCACCCTTTTACTGTCCCCCAGCAGTAAAATGTAAATCCACCAATCTAGCTACAGTCAGGACGAAAGGACGTTGTGGTGCATTGGTACTGTCCCTACTTCTGAGATGGGAGATTCTAGTTTAAGCCCAACTCCAGGGGTGTACAATACCATCGAACTTGTTGATTAAAAAATATCTGGAATTCTAGCTAATCACTGATGTTGCTATTTTGTCACATTGCCTGATATTATTAAATTGGAAAGGGCGCAGAAAATATTTACCAGGATGTTACCGGGAATGGAGGGTTTGAGTTATAAGGAGGCTGAATAGGCTGGGACTTTTTTCACTGGAACGTAGGAGACTGAGGGGTGACCTTGTAGAGGTTTATCAAATCATGAGGGATGCAGGTAAGGTGAATAGCAAAGGTTTTTTTCTGCAGGGTAGGAGGCTGAGGGGTGATCATATAGAGGTTTATCAAATCATGAGGGGCATGGCTAAGGTGAATAGCAAAGGTCTTTTCTGTTCTGAGGAAGGGTCGCTTGACCTAAAACATTAACTCTGATTTCTCTCCACAGATGCTGCCAGATCAGCTGAGCTTTTCCAGCAATTTCTGCTTTTGTTTCTTTTCTCTGTGGTTAGGGGAGTTCATAACTAGAGGACATAATTTTAAGATGAGAGGAGAGAGAATTAAAAAGGACCTGAGGGGCAAATTTTTCACACAGAGGGTGGTTCATATGTGGAAATGAACTACCAGAGGAAGTGGTGGATGCAGGTAGAGTTACAAAGTTGAAAAGACATTTGGACAGGTATATGAATAGGAAAGGTTTAGAGGGATGTGGGCCAAGTGCAGGCAAATGGGATTAGTTAATTTGGGAAACCTGGTCAGCATGGACAAGTTGGGCCGAAGGGTCTGCTTCCATGCTGTATGACTCTATGACTTTATGAATGCATTCAGAAAGCAGAAATGGATTTTTGCTGGAGTCCACCTGTAGAATTTATACTCTGTCTCTTCCCAAACCTGTTCAACTGAATCTCATCTCCCGCAACAAAATCTTCAATCTAAATAACAATGACCATTCCATATTGCTTGGTAAAGCACCTGGATCATATTCCTGATAATACAAAATAACTTGGGTGAGTTAGAGGCAGTTTCAAATGAGGAATTCAATGAGGCATTGACTGATTATTTAAATAGGTGTGCAGGGTTAAGGGAAAAGGCAGGAGATTGGCAATAAGTCAAAATGCTGAGTGCTATTGCAGCTGCGATGGGCTGAATATCCTCCTTCTGTAACAATGCTATGATTGCTTCATCTAAATGACTGGCTCTGACGTTCTTATACTCTATGCACGACTGATGAAAGCAAATATCCCATGTGCCTTCTTAACTATCCTACTCACGTGCTCTGCCAAGTTCAGAGATCCGTGAATAATTAGCCCAAGATCCCTCTGTTCGTCTAAGCTATCCAGTGTCCTGCCATTGATTAAACACTCCCTCATCTTGTTTCTTCTCTCAAAGTGTACCACCTTGTGCTCATCAAGGTTAAATACCATCTGCCATGGTCTGCCCATCTGACCAGCTCTACCAATCTTGGTGTCATTCCCCCTCCACACACGCGCACACACCCACACACGCACACACCCACACACGCGCACACACACACACACACCTTCTTCTGTATCATTTATGTAACAAACAACAAGGGTCCCAGTACTGGTCCTTGTGGTACACCGCTGGACACCAACTTCCAGTCACTCAAAACACCTTCTACCACTGCCCTTCGTGTCCTGTTACTAAGCCAGTTTGTGATCCTTCACACCAACTTTCCCTCAATTCCATTTAACCTTTAACCTTCTCAATCAGTCTCCCACATGGGACCTTGTCAAAAACTTTGCTAAAATCCATCAAAACTACATCAACTGAACTTTCCTCATCCACACATTTGCAAAAGAATTCTAACAAATTTGTTAGGCATGACCTCCCTCTGACAACACCATGCTGAATATCCCTTATTTATCCACGCCTTTCCAAGCGGGTATGAATTCGCAGAACTGTCTCCATAGTTACCATACCACTGATGTGAAACCTATCAATCTGTAATTTCCTGGTTCATCTCTACCACCTTTCTTAAAAAATGAAGCCGCATTAGCTGTCCTCCAGTCCTCAGGCACTTTGCCTGCGGCCAGAGGGGAATTAAAAATTTGTGTCAGAGCCCCTGCAATTTCCTGCCTCACCTCCCACAGCAGCCTGGGATGCAATTCATCTGGGCCGGGGAATTTGTCTGTTTTTAAGCCTGACAGAACCTCCGATACCCCCCCATTTCCTATGTCAAACTGTGCAAGTTCCTCACAGGCCCTTTTCCTGAATTCCGTACCTACGTCCTCTTTTTCCAGAGTGAAGACTGAAGGGAAGCATCCATTCCGGATCTTACCAATATCCTGCAGCTTCACACACAGGTTGCCCCCACCTTGGTCCCTAATGGGTCCTACTCTTTCCCTGGTTAACCTCTTCCCTTTAAGGTATTTATAGAATTAGGATTCTCCCTAATCCTGTTCCTTTTTCATTCCCCCCTTTTTGCTCTTCTAATTGCTTTCTTATGTTCCCTTCTGCACTTCCTTCTATTCCTCTAAGGCTGTAGTTGAATTGCTCCCTTTGGACTCGCTAAAATCCCTACTCTTCTTCCACATCCAGGATTCTCTGAGGTTATTGCTCCTACATTTCTCTGTAAAGGATACATGTTGGACATGTACTGTCCCTAGTTCCTTTTTGAATGCCCCTCCACCACCATTGCTCCACTGTAGATTTATCCGCAAGCAGCTGTTTCCAGTCTACTATGGCCAGATCCTGCTTTATCTTAATAAAATTTGCCTTCCCCCAGTCCAAAGCCATCTTTTGCATACCATATGTTTTCTTGTGTCCAGAACAAATTTGAACCGTACCGTGTCGTGGTTGCTATCGCCTAAACGTTCTGCCAGTCCCACATTGAACACTTGTCCGGCTTTTTTCCTCGTCCCTTATTGGGCCTTCGACATATTGATACAAAAAACTACCCGGATACATTTCAAGAAATCCACCCCTCTAAACCATTAACACTATGACTATCCCAATTTATTTTGGGAAAGTTGAAATTCCCCAGTAAACTGTACATGATTATTACTCTTACATATCTCTGTGAACTGCCTACATATTTGCTCCTCTATTTCCCACTGACTCTTTGAGGGCTTGTAATACACTTCCAGTAAGGGGTCCTGCTCACCAACCAATATTCTATTTCGGAAACTGATGAGGATGCTGTTACCTCGGAGGAATGCAGTCAACACTAAGCTTCTGGCACCACACGCGGCTTGACTGTATGGAGTGGGGGGGAGGAAGGACAGCAACAGATAGGTGCAAGAACTCATTCCTCACTTTTCCCACGTCATTGGTACCGACATGTACCATGACCTCTAACTCATTACCCTCCCCATTCAGGATGTCCTGCAGCTGTTCAGTGACATCCCTGACCCTGGCACCAGGGAGGCAACACACCCGCTTGGAGTCATGTCTTTGGCCACAGAAATGCCTGTCTGCTCCCCTGCCTGAAGAATCCCCTATCTGTTGCTCTCCTTCCTCCCCCCCAACTCCATACAGTCAAGCCGCAGGGACTATCTGTCTGCTCTTTCTGCATCGTCTGGTGGTCACCCATTCACTTCTTTGCTCTAATCCCTTGGGTCATGGTGTGACCACCTCTCTGAACATGCTATCCACGTAACTCCCAGCCTCGTGGATGTGCCACAGTGTTTCCAATGGTTGCTCAAGCCCTGAGACCCGGAGACTCCGGCTTCGGCAGCTGGGAGCACTTCCTGCACATGTGGTCACCTGGGAGCCTGGAAGCATCCAGGACTCCCCACATATGACAAGCAAAAGGAGATAATCCTTTTTGAAAGATGTACCAACTCCACAGCTCTGGAGTGTTGGTGCAAGATGACATTTTTAATTTGAACCTAGCAAAGCCCAATAATTGGACAGGCTGACAGCAAAGTCTTCAATCACTAGCCCCAGCATCAATTGATTAAATGTAACTGAGCAGTTTTAATGCCATGAATCTGGAGATTGAGAAATTTACCAAAGTGCAGCTGACCCCGAACAAGATACATTGATATGTCCAATATTAGTGAAGGATACCACTGGCAAATGTAAAACAAGGAGCTTGCATTTATATTCAGGTTTTTAATGGCCTTTGGACATTCCAAAGCCAATGAAGTTCTTTGAAGCATTGTCACTGCTGAAGGGAATTTGGAAGTCAATTTGTGCAGAGCAAGATCCCACAGACAGCAGTAATGGCCAGGGAATCTGTTTGAGAGATGCTGGTTAATGAATAGAATAGAATAGAATCCCTGCACTGTGGAAACAGGCCCTTCGGCCCAACAAGTCCACACCAACACTGAAAGCATCCAACCCAGACTCATCCCCCTAATCTACACATCGCTGAATATTATGGGCAATTTAGCACGGCCAATCCACCCTAACCTGCACATCTTTGGACTGTGGGAGGAAACCGGAGCACCCTGAGGAAACCCACGCAGACACAGGGAGAGTGTGCAAACGCCACACAGACAGTTGCCCCAAGGGCGGGATCAAACCCGGGTCCCTGGTGCTGTGAGGCAGCAGTGCTAACCACTGAGCCACCGTGCCGCCCTATGGATAGCTCTGCTGCTTTTCTCTGAAAGCGATGGCTGTGGGATCTTCTGTACAAGAGGCCTTCAGGTTAACATCCCGCTTGAAAGACAGTGCCCTCAACAGTGCAACACTCCATGGACAGTCAGCCTAGAGATTCTCTTTGCACTTGAGATTTGGCTTGATCCTACAGCCCAGAGTGGCATCAACTGAATTGTGGCTGACATTTTGTGGACATGGTCACACAAGGATGTCACAGAGTCAGACAG